CCCCACTTTTTTTTAAAAAGCAGCCAAGACTCCATACTCTTCCACTTCAAGTTAGTTATGAGGTCAGGCATAGCATGCTTTCGATACTATAGACCAGCGTTAGAGTTGATGTACCTGATGGGACTTGTAAACAGCTCCCTGGCAGAGGGCAACCTCATCGCTTCATGGGGGGCTTCCTGTGCAGGCAGAGGCTTGTGTTACATAAAGAGAACGTTATACAAATTTATAATTAGTCAATGAGTGGAAAAGTCACTTTTCTGCTTAGGAGAACACTGTTAATAAACATCTGGTTAATGTTCTAATTGACTACAAAGCCAGGCCACTTTGGCGATGGAGAGCTGATGGTGACCGAAGTCAAAACTCGCTGAACCTGCAGGGCCTGTTTAGCTACGGTACCCTTGGTTGTTGTCGAGCAAGAGAACAGTAAACTAGCCAACTAGCCTTTACTAAAAGGCTGAAGCCTAGATTTCTTAATAGTATTTAGTTGTCAGAGGGACTAAATCAGTGTAAGACTCTGTCCCTGTGCCCTTCAATAGCTGCTGGGTGTCTGGAGTATACATGTGCGTGGGAATCAAAACACAGCACAGGTTCCTTGCTTGTGTTACGAGGCTCATTCACTGTTGGGTATTTTAATCAGGCTCTGCACTCTAGGCCCATGCAAAAAGCAAGGATGGTAGTCCCAACAGTGAGAAGCAGCTCATTTGTACCCACTTTGTCAATGCAGTACTAGACCTCAGCATTTTTGCATCGCAATAGAATCAAACTCTGCTATTTGGCTGTTGGCAAACTTAACGGCTGCTGTACTTCCTGCCTTCCCATATGGTAGCTTATTTAAAAAAATAAGGCATTTACGAAGAGCATAAACTGTAAAAGCAGGCTAAACATTTGGGAGGTTACAGAAAACTCTAGATGCACTAGTGTGCCTAGGCTGCAGTGAGGGCTTAGCTTGTACACCCATAGCTTTAAAACCCTGGAAAGGTATAGGGTCCTTGGAGGTCCATGGCTTATTCTGGTGGGAGCTCAGATCCTGCAAACAGTCCCTTATCTATGGAGGAGGTTGCTGTGGCCTGCAGCACAGCAGGGCCTCACTGGTCATTGCACTGGCCTGCCTCAGGACGGGACAAAACAGATGGGTGCAGGAGAAAGTAGCAACTACATGCTGGGAAGATTGGTGAAGGGAGCTTGAAAAAGTGAAATGGTCTTTGAAATGGTCTTGAGAAAGTGCACTGAGAGAAGAAAGCAACGTCCAGTTTGTTTTCCTTTGCCCTGGGGCTATCTCACCCCACATACTTGGGAAGAAGCTCCTCTTGGCAGTGAGCAGGGACAGTACAACCACCAGCCACACCTCAGTGGTGCTCACCCCGTATCTCCCAGAACCTGCTGCGGCACCTGGTGCTCAGCTCCGAGAAAACCCAGCATGCTACAAAGCCTATGTGTCCTCACATCCACCTCCGCTCTCATGAGCTGCTCCAAGCTCAGATCCTGGCACTGTCACAGTTTGTAGGCCTGCTGCTACTCCCATGCAGAGCAAACCCAGTCAGCCAGCTGCTGTCGTGCTGGTTGTCGGGTCACAGTGACCTTGCAGCCTTGGTGGTGCCAGCTTGCCGCCATGTGCAGCTTCTCACTCTCCAGGATGGCGCACACGGCCTCCCACTACTGCTGGTGCTCCACTCACAAGGCTGGGCTGAGTCAGGTCTTTGCAAAGTGCAGGACAGACAATGGAGGAACAAGAGAAGGTGCTAGAGCTTCTTCATCATTTCTTCAACCCCCCCCCCCCCCCCCCCCCCCGCCAGAAACGGGAACTTTATTCCTCTCAGATGATCAAACGCAGCATCCAACTGCTGAACTTCATCATCCTCTGCACTGAGCCAGGCCCATTTACCTCACCTCCATCAAAAGGTCTTGATGGCTCAGACATGGACTACCGACGTCCACTGCTACACTAGCAGCCACATCAGAGCAAGTAGGAGGTCTGCATAACTATGTGCTAGGTGGACAGTGGCTTCTGGGCCTGAAAATAATATCATCTCCCCTATTGTTTAAAGGACATCCGTTTAAAAAAGAAGTGCTGGGGGGGGAAGAAGGCAGGTGGCTGCTTTTAGCAAAGTAGTCTTACTTCTAAATTCATCACTTTCAAGGCCATGCAAAACTGGATATGGAAATAGCAAAAGGGACCACAGTGAGCTGTATTCTGCTACATTTGAAGTAAATCTTGATCACTTAAGAAGGTAAAAAAAAAAGTTTCTGGTCAGTTTTCTCCATGAGCGATTCAGATCCCAAGGTACATACTCCAATTCCCCTGAAGCAGCTGTTCTTAGATTTGTAGAAACCCAGACTCATCAAAATCAATTACATCAACTTTAGTAAACTTCATGATAAAGACAGTTCATCAATTACTGCTGTTTTTTCCTGCCATAGGGGCTCTGCAGCTATTTTTGTTAAAATTGTCTACTACAAAATAAGAATATGTAACTGGAAATCACACATATGATCATGTACATGAAATCAAGATGAATGTTATGCTGCGCAAAACAACCAATCTGCAATTTTACCAGAATGATTAACTACCCTGTTGTCCCAGTTGCTGCTGGGCCTGAAAGCACATCACAGAAAATCCTATAACAATAGCATGCTGGCTTTGAGTTACTCTGCAGCACACATCATGCCATGTCTTCACTATTTGTAGTGAACTATTACTGTTTGTAACTTTGCAGTTAAGGCTTTCTCCTGAAAAATGCCTATTTGCAGGGTGTTAGCATTCTTGCTCTAGTTTTAGACTTAAAAAGTGTCCATGATAATAATCCATTGTACACAGGGACTTCGACTGCTTCTTTAATGTAAATAATTGCATTTTAATTATCTCCGGCTCTTTTTTTCAAAAGTGTGAAAAAAATGCATAGGCTAAAAGCTAAGAATTGAAAGCTAACTTTACTTTAAAAATCACGTATTACAGGAAAACAGCGCATAACATGAACTAATTGATATTGCAGTTTAGGAGGAAAAAGGAAAAACACTGCAGTTGTGGCTACTCTTGTGTAATAGGGATGACAATTCAGCTATTTTTCTACCTAAAATGATAAGGATTCAGAGTAATGCGTATCTTGCATTATCAAGCTGAACTTGTGCTTATATTGGCCAAATTAAGTCAAGAAGCCCTTTTTCCTTGTCTTTTTTTTTTTTTTAACATCTTGAAATCAGACTCTGTGACCAAAGAAACATATGTAAAAAATTCCAGTCCTAAAGAGCAGTTGATTAGCTGTTCTGAAGCCACTATGGCCTCATCTTTGCTTTTATCAGAGGCTGCTCTAGCTACTAAAAATGCTTAAGTGAATTGTCTACAAGTGTTTTAATAACTACAGAGAATCATAATCTAGAGCAAGTTTAGCTACTACAGACTTCTTTACAGTTGCAAGAATCTGCTTAATGATTTCAGTGGTGATCAAGTTGGGCTGAAAATGCCAGCAGACATTCCCAACGGTTCTGGCAGCGTAGATAATTAGAGTTTGAGATGAAGATGATTTCATGCAAACATCCTGTGTTATGAGTGCATACTAGCACTTCTTAGTGTAAATGCAGCTAAGTGTAAATGTTAGTTATTTCCCAGTTAATCCTCTTTGTAGATGCCTTATTTACTCCTAGACATTGCAGCCCAAATTCAGGAGTGCAGGTTCCCCTCCTAGTGCCCAAGTAAAGCTACACATCTCAGAAAGACTTCACAGACAAGAGCTTATTGAGCAAAGGAGTTGCCAGTACCAAACAGTAGAGAATACTAGGGAAGGAATTTTTATCTTTACGTATAGTTAGGCATCCATGTCTACATGAGCTTCCATTTCTTAATTACCAAAAATTCAAATGGCCTCAGTGTTAGGGAACTGACTGGGTCCCCCAAGGAAGACCAGACCATCCTTTCCTATTATATGTAAAAGAGACTGTAAAGTATCTGAAGAACTTCTCCGGCAAAAACTGAAGTACCTTGAGATTTCCAACCTATATGGCACCTTAAGCAGGGTTTTGAACACTACCGTTTTGGCCAGAGGTGTTTAAAACTTGCTGAGGGTCCATCCACACGGCCTCCAGCCAGTCCAACTCACCGTTCCATTGAAAGATAGCATATAAGTTCTTGGACAAAAAGTTATCAAATGCAGATTATTTCTGCTCAGTACAGCCTTCAAATGATGTTCTGATGTGCTTGACAAGATCAGTTCAGTTACCTTCTGTTTTTATATAGTTACTTTGAAGTTTCCAGTACAAGTACTCAGTTATCTAATTGACCATGAAGCAAGAATTAACTAACAGATGACAAAATTAACTGGTGGTGGAAAAATTGTACCTATATGAAAGGAAATGAGCTAAATAAAACAGGCTATATCTTATAATATCTGCTTTGCAATTTTTCTGCTGAGGTGGTTTTTTTTTTTTTTTTTTTTTTCCTTTGCTGGAACTGAGAAAGCAAAGGGACACTGAGTGTGTTTAAGCTCTCTTACTGTATTAGTGTCTTACTATTCAGAAACAGCAGGAAGCAGTGATATGAGTTATTAGGTATTGCTTAAAAACTGGTCATATACTTTATCTTCAGATGCTTGGTACATACCAGTTTCAACCTCACACCAACATTTCAGTGGGGATAAAAGGACTTTTTTGTCAAAATCATTTTATTAAAGAGTTAATGTCACAACAAGCTCAAAATAACACATGCTTCAGAAATAAGTTTGACAAAAAATACTCTAAACAGAACTGTTTTTTTAAAGGCATGGTAAAGCATCAGCTGCAAGAAACTTCTGCAAACAGGGGCAAATTCTGTCAGTACAATGGAAAAACTCAGTAAAGAAGCCATCTGGGCATTTCTTCTGTCTATGTAGTGCAGTTTGTCTAATAATTTAAATCAGAAAGGACACAATTTCCATGGCTGCATAGACCCAAATGTATTTCTTCAGTAATTAGCCCCAGGACAGATTTTTCACTGAGTACTAACAAAACAAATTTCGCTGACATCTTAATAATGCAGTAATATATATATTATATACGCGATAGATGTTTGACTCATGCAGCCTCCTCAGTTATATGATTTTTTTTGATTTACTCAAGAAACATTATAAAAAAATAGGTTTGCAATTTTTTTATTTCACTCCAGCATTAGCTCCGCATCACCTTAGGCAAAGACACTGTTTCAGGAGATAATTTAATCTGGCAAGAAATCTGCCCTAATTCTTAACCTCATTTTTGTACATCCACGTAGAAAATAAATGTGAATTCTTTATACAAAACAAGAGCAAATAACTGTACCTATATAAAAGGCGATTAATTCCTTCAGTTTTATTATCATGGCACATACTTTACAGTTTCACAACAGCATACTGATTTTCATTTAGTTTTTTAAAACCCAAAATAGTGTTGATGAATGGAAGAATATGAGTTACCATAGGCAGCTGTCTCATGCATTAAGCAATTCATGTTCTTTATCAGTTTTCCCAACAGCATCAGGATTGGATAATGGGTCAAGGTCAGCAAAGAGACTGAACCAAGCAGTCAAGTCTTTAGGATTCTTTGTAGGATCTGGAGGGGAAAAAAAAAAAGAGAAAAGTACAAACTTGGGAGTATTTGCTTGTCAGCTATCTTAAAACAAAACTGACTGAATGTTTGACTGAGGTCAAACAAACGCCATGCGATTGTTTAATGTATTATTTAAGGCACCTCTGACAAGACAATCAGAACGAGTGATTACATTTTAAAACACTATCTCCAACAGAATATTAAATTTTTGTAAGAATGAATGTTGTACATCTGTTTGCCTACATATTTTATATGGCCCCTGCCATGATAACTACAGGAACACTTTAATTACTTTAAAACAGAAATAATCTCTCTGTGTCTAGCTTTTTGCAAAAACTGCTTTGTTTCATGAAAGGTATTTTACTTGTGTGTGCACCTGTATGGCTGCAAAAAATAATGGAAGCATACTTCAGTTTCAACCACATCTTGTCTGTTACAGGACTGAATTCCTTAGTCTAAATCCGGTTCATGTGACCATTCTGTCCCCTTATATATGACCCTCCTGTACTGCCATACAATGTCACTACTCATCTGGAATGACGTTTTAATGGGAAGGCCTTGGCTGGAGAGAGAGGGTATGTTTGATAGCCAATCCAGTCCCATGTACAGCTTCTAGTATTAGGATGTACTTTTTGATTGATTTGTACTTTTATTCAGAGAAAGACAGTGCAAGGATCACAATGATGTGTTCACAGAGCATGTACTGACTACTCGCAAGCTGCTGCATTTTGTACCAGATGGAGCCTTTCAGGGAAAGTGGCTTCGCTCCTTGTCAGAAGGATTAGCAATAAATACATTGGAAGTTCACAAACATGTGAACCTCTGGTCAGCTTCATGTCTGTAGTCTGGGGCAAGTAGCCAGAAATTGCTATTTGAATGCCCGTAGTGCTGAACTATCCAAAAGAACCTTCCCTTTCTTTTAAAAGGTAGTATTCGCCTTCAGTGCCTGAAATAAGTTGCTGTGAAAGGAGAAACCTAAGTCAAAACAAAACTGTTTTCTCTAATCTCTGAATCTTCTTGAAGGAGCTACAAAAGTATTTCAGTTATCAGTGGTCTCAAAATGCCAGAGATGGTGAATAAGCCGAGATGTTTCTCTTGACAAAACAGAAGGAAGTCAGTCGCCTGAGCACAAAGTCTCAATCCCATGAAGGCTGAGGGCTACCAAGGTGATTCAGATTACTGGCAGTGACACTGACAGCCAGGTGTTTGCTCACTCTTCAATTATCTTTGTTGACAGAAGTGAGGGCCTGCATTATGCAACAGTTTGCAAGTTTTCTAACATCAGCAGTGGTTTCTTTAAGCCTAGCTAGACTACTGCAGCTGGACTATTGCATCTATATTGTCTATAATGATACACAGATGTCACAGGTGTTCCTACCTTCTATCATTCCAAAAGAGCAGAGGTTCAAGTTACAGAGGTGATTTTCACTGCTACAAAATGGTGCATAGCCACTGGTTCTTTTTTTTGTGATCCTCCGCTAACATGTACTGTATTGATAGTGAAATAAGATGCGGTCTTCTACTTCAGAGAGATAACGCTCCAGTGCTGAGCATAAGCATTCCTTGTGAACCAAGGAATTTATGGACAAAAGAAAATAAAAAGGCTTTGCATGGCATGACTTTTATCGTCTTTGTGTCTGGAAAACTGCAATATCTGTCACTTTCATAAACACAGATTTTAAAGTAGCTGAATGTTGCTCCTTTTTCTGGTGCATTTATTGTAGCTGTGATATCTCACTCAGTCCCAAAATAGTTCCCCAAACCTCTTAACTATCCTCCTCTGCTGGGCAGAGAAAGGTCAGTCTTTTAAGCCTAAGAGGTGAGGGAAGGAATGTGCATCGCTCTTTTCTTCTGCACTGAAGATCTCTGACGCAGCTTGTTTGACTGTGAATGCACAGAACAGGCTACACGCTGGCAATAAGGATTCTATATATTCCGGGCTCAGAATTTATCCAGAAAACTGTAGTCAAAATCAGTGGGGCTTTGTCTCAGCACATGGCAGGACTATGCACTCTTGGCTCAGTTGCAACAAGTGAATTAAGTTTCAAACAGATGACTACTGAAATGATGTATGTTATCAATGAGATTTGCAGTTAGGGATCTTCTACCATATCAGTAGCGTGTATTTTAGCCACAATGTCCTCCTCCCAGAGCTTCAAAATAAACAGTGTTTAGCTTAGACCAAATGCATGCACATGCTATGACTCAAAATTGAAGTAGTAGAAGAAACTGTGGTTTCAACTCCCTCATCATATAACAAACTACTCTCCTGACATACCACCAGCACTACAGCCTACCCTCCCCCACGTTCACACATATATTTATCATATACATAACCAACACTGTAACAGAGAAATTCATTAGCACAATATTCATTAGCACAAAATATAAAAATATATTTTATTACGATGGATTAACCGAGAAGACCAGAAAGATGCAAGATTCACAACTGAACGGGAAAAGCAAAGTAACGGAAAAAAACCATGAAAGTATCACCTTTCACAGGCGTCTTGTTAGCATTCACACTGAGGCTGTTTGGTTTCTGTGCTGGCTGTGGTATAGATGGAGGGCTCACACTGTTAGCTGCCCATCCTAAAATTCAATAATATAGGAGCATTAGTGAGTTAGTAATTACTTTGTGAACTCTGACATCCCTTTATCTAGCAGCACAATGCTCACAGCAGCTGATGGAGCAGAACCTCCCTACCTTATGCTTACAGCCATTTGTATCTTTCCTCTTATACAAGAAATTAGCTGTTAGATTCTGCAGACAAGCAACATCCTTGAAAACAGATTATCTGCTGACCAGTTTCATCATCTCCAGGTTCAGGCAACTGCACACTGTTCAAAACTTTAACTTGGCTAAAAAAGAATTTTCTTGTCACTTTTATCCAATCTCTTCTCTAAGTAAGTAACACTTGCTTACAGAAAGTCAAGCACAGAGGTTAGGAGAAGGATATCCCTTACATTTGGGAGAAAATCTTGCATCCTGAGACCTACTGTAACAGCCCATAACCCACAAAAATTTGGACATAGAGGTATCACATATATTTGTTCTAGTCAAAGGTAACAGAGGCTTATGAACCAATCTATGTCTCTTGAAAATGAGATTTTAAGAGTTTAATCTTTCAAATAAGAGAATTTGAACTTCAAAAATAAAAAGTTTGGCACTTAGTACTTCAGAACAACATATCTCTTTAGGTATTTTCTCTGTGTTATAAAAGAGAGGAATTGCAGAGCATATTGCATACAGCTATAGAAAACCGTAATGCTTTTGTTTGTCTGGAGATCTACTGAAAAATATGTTTTATATGTCAGTGGATGGTAATGAATAAATCAAGTGGGTTAAGTGAACAAGGCCAAATCTTAATTTCGTAGAAATGAATGGGAGTGTTGCCCGGAAACTTTCTGTGCAAGTTCCACTGACTTCAGTGAGATCAGGAATTGGCTCCCAGGGAATTCACTGATGTTAGTTTACACTGATGTGACTGGCAGACCACAAAGCTAAACCCTGCAGAGCAGTTAACTCTTTTTTGGAACTTTTCAGTCCCTAGACTAAGATTTGGTAAGCAGAAAATCCATGAGAGATGCTGTGCTCTGCTCTCTGTTCTTTAAAACATAAGCAGTTCAAGCGTCACTTTGTTACAAAGAACCACCTAACAAAAAAAATCCCACCAAAAGTGCTCCACAAAATACATGCTGCCTTTGAACTTTCAGTTCTATCAAGGTTTTGGGAAAGATTGCCTTAGATTTTTTATGAAATGGTTTTGTGTATCATATTTTTAGTGCCAACTCACAGCAACTTAGAGAACTTTGTATTTGAAAAACAAATTGCAGTCTATCAGTTTGAAAGGATCTGTCGCCCTTAGCCTGTTCTGGTTTGCCTGTTCACAGAATGGCTTCATTACGCAACTAGACAAAAGATTATCAGTGAGACAGCAAGGAAACCAAACAGCTTGCTTCTCAGCTAGCATCTTCACAACACTTACCACAATTAAATTTAGAAATGGAATCAGTAAGCTGCACATTTTCTTACCATCCAAACCAAACCCCTACGGAGGTAATATAAAGAAGAGTCCTTAGTGGTATGGATAAGTAAATGGGGCCATAAACATCATGAAAAAGAAAGCTAATGCTCTCTATGAAAAGTAGAAAGGCAACAAAGTTACAGACCTGTATATGTAATGGAATATAAAGGATTTGTTGATACCATGCTTTGCTTCTAATATTTGTGTGTGTCTGCATATATATATACATATATACACACACACACACACAAATATATTTTAAAACAGCACCTGGCAGTCCCATAGCAATTCAAAGTCCCATTGTGCTAGATCCTGTCTATAAATACAGCCAGAGAAAACTGTGAGTTGGGAATTCCTGACTGTAACAGTTTATAACCTGCATAGCATTGTGCCTGTTTTACAGATTAAGATCTGAGGCAGAGAGAAAACAAAGCCCCAAAGATTTATGAGTGTGCTTAATGTAAAATAAGTAAGTAATCCCACTGAAGTTAATAGAAAAGTTAATATGCTTAAAGTTAAGCATGTGAGTTTTAAGAATCTTTATGGTCTTAAGGCTGAATTCACACAGGAAGTATGCAACATCTAATCTAGGCTCTGGTGTAGCACCTCACGCTGTATAATTATTAAACAACTCTAGCAACTAGTAAAAAAAATACAGTTCAATGTAGGACATGCATCACAAGTGCTCAGTAAAAACATTCGTAAATCACATATTCTAATATTTTCAACTTTTATATCTAGATATGTTTATTCTGCAGTTGGTATTTTGCCTAAAAAGCAGCCTCTGTTCCCAAATATAGTGGCAAAGGTCAAATTATAAAAGGAGTCCTGTAAAATGAAATGCAGTTTAACACTGAGATTTCACAAGACATGAAATGCACAGTATTTTACTTTCAATGCAAAAATAAGAAACAAATAATTAAAAAAGAAAAATATTCTTGAAAGTTAGCTTGAATAGGGCATTTTACTTGGCAACTGGAGTCAGCTGGGAACGTGCTGATTATCAGATACAGTCACTCAGCTCATTAGCTATTACTTTAAAAATGTCAGTAGATCAATTTATCATGATCTTCTGCCAAAGCCTTGGAAGTCTTTTTGAAAACATCAACATATTTTTTTCTTTCAATATCTATTTATACATTTTTATTAAAAAATAATTTGGGATATCCTGCTGACTAGGACTGGTTTTCCATTTCTAGTGTTCCTTTGATGCAATATATTTGAGTTTTAACTTTGAGATGCTAATACCAGTGTCTCCTGCAAATGAAAGGGACAATAATATTCTCAGAAAGAATATCCAGGCCTGTTCGCCATTTACATCTCAAAAATATTTTTCTTTCAAAAATAAATTTACATTTAAAAACTAGTAAAAACTATCTCAAAAAACCAACATCATACTATTTATTTTGCCATATCTAGTCATTTGTTTAAAATCTGTTTATGCCTCTGTATCAAAAAAAAAAAAAAAAGAAAACCATCTTTCTTAATTTCAATAGATACTATCTCAGCTTCTGGTTACACAACGTTTTAATTTGACAATGCAATGACTAAATCTCTTCCATGACTTTTTAGTTCATATTTTATAGTGTCAAACCCTATGCTTTTTCAGTCCCTCTTCACTTTATCAAGCATGTTCATATATGCACACACCTCATCATAAAAATATATCTAAAATTGCATAGCATTGCAAATGTTACTTCCCCAGCTCCCAGCTAAGTGTTCATGCCAGTGAACCCAAACATCTTGCCTTTGTGAGGATGGTAACTGAATTAATTACAAAGTAAATTCGATTTTTCTTATTCTTGCCAAACCGGCACAGGTCATTTCATATCATTTATGTTTGTACCAGCTTCATGATATGCAAGAAGTAGTCTTCAGGATGAAAACAGTCTGCTAGTCTCTCCTACATCACCCTTCCCCAAATGACAGGAAAATGACTATAGGACAAGAAAACCCCAAAAGGTGAACTCCTCCTCTAGCTTGCAATGCCCTGTGGAAAAATCCAGACTGGCTGCTGCTGGACAGTGGGCAGGATGAAGATGGCTGCTGTTGACTGGTTACCACGAGCCTCCTACCCTTGCTCAGCACAGGCCAAAGAAGCAGCAGCAAAGCTCTGCTCTAGTTCCCCCTCTTTCCTTTTGCTTCCCCACAGCAGCTTAGAAAGACCAAGGAGAAGGAAAGACTGCACAGAAGGAAGGGGAGAGTAAAGGTTGCTACCTGCATTGGTACATAACCAGCTTACAAAACAAACCCACCTGCACGGCTGCTAGATGAGACCACCTATTCTCCCTTATCCCATGTGCCTACAGGCAACAGTATGGGACACATTAAAAAAGAGACAGTGAATGAATGCAACAAATTTTCACTCAGCTGCTTAGAAATAGTACTCCCAGTCAAAATAGAGAAAACATATTTGGGTTTCCAGAGGGCACAGAGGAGAGCGAAGGAAGTCGTTCAGTGTTCTTTGCCCCCTTAACAGACAGACAGACACGGCAGTTGGGATTTTAACAGTAAAACCCAGTCAAACACATTTCGTGTTATAGAAAGATGTCTCAAGGGCCTACAGAGCATTTCAATAAACTCAATGAAAATATTCAGGATAAGATAACATTCAAGATAATTTTGACTTCAAGTTTTAGGGCACTTCATTCACAAACACTGAATGAGCAGGGCTACAGAAACAAATATGCAGCTTAATCTGTACTTCTCCAGGCCACACCTTGCTTAAATAATAAAGTGTTCCAGGGATTCTGCAGCTATGGCACAATATAAGCCACCACCACACTTCTAGGCAGCAGAAAGCCATACTCTAAAGCATGAAAGAGAAACGAGATGGTAATTAACTTGAAGTTTAGCCTCCTGCTAACAGAACAAGATGAGCTCTCACCATGTAAAGACGACTGCAAGTCATTCATGTTTTGGTCTAAGAGCTGTGAGGGCAAATAGCCGGATGGTGTCCCTGCCACAGATGATGAAGTGTTCTCCACCTCTCCAGCGGAAGAGTTCACGGTGAGGTCAGCAAGCGCAACCTGCCCAAAGACAGCTGTCCACTCTTTGCTGAACTCCCCCTCATCCAAGGAGGAAGCATTGAGGATCTCATTCAGTAATACCATGTCATCCTTATCACTGGGTTCAGACTCCAAGGACCTCACAAACTGATCCTTTGAAGCTGTCTCAGAAACAAAACAGAACGTAAAGATAAATCCGCATTCAAAACAAACAAACCAAGAACAAAACCAGTATTTTTAAAATACCCAATCTAGTTTTTGTACGTTAACTCTGATTGGAATATATTTGCCTGAATATTTGTTTGCTATTTTAGATCCAGTTCCCTTGGATATCTGGGCTTGTAGCTTATGCAACAAGTTATTCCCTAATTATCTTCAGAGAATCTCACTTCGAAGGGAGACTCATTTTTGCCTTAAAAAAAATATACCGCAAGGACACTTAAAGATCTATTAAATAACACCCAGAAACATTACATAGTCTAATGCTTAAAACACTGCAGAGGACTGCTTTTATGTTGTTTTTTCAAGCCTGATACAGATCTCCTCTCTCTCAAAAAAAAAAAAAATCTGATCGGTACAATTGAAAATAAATGGGAGTTGAGATGATTCTAGAATTTCATGAGAATGTATTTAAGATAACCTTTATGACTTTCTGCTCAGTGCTTGAATTATTCAGGTATTTCCCCATAAGAATAGGTTATGCTACACAAAGTGAGATTTCTAAACTGTTCAGTGCTGGAGTAACTTTTCTCTCAGTTAAATCAATGTTAAATTGCCATTAACTTAATCAAGCACTGCTAGGCTTGATTGAGAAATAACTGGGGCCACTTTCCTTCTGACACTGTTTTCCATCTAGTAGCAGACAGTTAGATCACTTGAGCAGTTGTTCCTTCACAGCAATTTTTTTGGCCTTTTTTTTAAAAAACATTGAATACTTATAGAAAATACACGAAACTTGCAACCAAGATCCCCTTTTCTCTAGCTTACAAAGTATTCTGAGCATGAAATATCATGGAATCCCAAGCATTATTTTACCTAGAGACATTTTGAGCTCCACTGTGGGAGTTCGCCGATGACAAAAATGGTGGTTAACAATGTCGGTAACGTCACCTTACTGAAACCCAGAGCAGTTTATTTCAATTTCACTCATTTCAAACATGTGGTAAGGCACAGAAGCGATTTTATTTTCAAAGCTTTGATAGATCAGCTGGCTCTCCGAGTTGTACACAACTTGCAGAGACGCTTTTAATCCTTTTGGGCACACAAAGATCCTTAGAATGGACACAGGACTGATAGTAAAAAAGTGGTTGCTACCAGAGCAATAGGCCATATTCTTTAAATGCAACTGCCTTCTCAGGTAAATTCTCCTTATTAGCCGTAATAATTTATAATAAAATGGCTGAAATTGAGTCCAGTGGGGAAAAAAAAATTGCAAAGCTGTGTTTTAAAATAGGCTGATGAGTCAACATATGCACCCACGTACTATGAAACAAACCAACGCACATAAAATAAGGATTTTTATTCACTACTGAAGTCAGCTCTGAGATTCAGCTTCTTTCTAATTTACATTTCCATATACCTCTGCATTCCCTGCTAAGGCTGAAAAATAGAAACATTACGCACAAGTCTGTTCTCCTGATACTCCCACTAGACTATAACTGAAATACCATAGAAAACAATTTGTTCTCATGAATTTTCCGTCCACTCTCCTGACTTCAGACAAACAGCAAAGACTGTTAACGTTCTCCAAACATCTACAAGTTCTTCCAACTTTTAAAGTATTCACCAGGTGGGGCAGAGGGGTAAATCCTTTTGCGAGGAAAATGCATCTGCTATTTCAAAGGCACTTAATAACTAATCTCTACAGGGTGATACTACCTCAAAACTGCTTTCAGTAGGCCCCTTCATAAAATCAGAAGGCTTACAGGGGGAGATTTAAAGAGGGCATCATTAGAAACAGATCAGTTAAAACATACTACCAATACTCCACCTAACCATAAACTATATTTACTATAATGGAACAACAGTTTTGCAGCAGCATAGCTCAGAGCAAAGCTCTGCTTCATCTGGGTATCCCATTTCAGTGGTCTCAATTTTATTGGGGGAGAAAGTAAAACATGTAGCTTTGTATCATGAGAAATTAGGTCTTGCTCGACTGCATACGACCACCAGAAAGCAAGGGAGTGACACACTTCTGAACTTCTTTTCTTTCTGGTTTCCCTGCGGAGAAACTGCACGTGGGGTAGAGAAGGATAGGGTGGTACATACGTTCAGGCTACCTTGACTAAACAGCAGTAAGTTCTACCCTTATTTTGGTATATAGGTCTGGTTTGTAATAAAGGTTATCTTGAAACCAGTCCTGCTCATCAAGATATTACTCATCTCATGTGGTATCTATGCTAGATTACTAGAATGATATGGACTTTTTTTTTTTTTTTACCTCACCCATAAATCCTCTATCATTTCTCTTCCTGCTTCTCTTTTTTCACTGCCCATTTTCACACAAAAAATCTTTTCTTTGCCTGCACACACCATCATATAAATGTCCACAAAAAAACCCTAACCCCCCAATACAGCACTGAAAAATATTCATGACACCATATTCTATTTCGTATTTGTTTGAACAAGTCTCTAACAGTGCTTATCGTATTCCTTGCAACCACACTTTGTTTTGCAGGTATTTAAAAAATAAACAAGCAGAAAGAGAAATTAAAAACACTTACAATAACACAGGACCAGAAACACAGAAGAATTATCTTCAGAAACACACAAGAAAGCGTACCTCTAATTATACTGGCATAGCTAAAATTACACAATCTCTATTAGCCTCAAGCTAGTTAGTGTTTAAAATTAGGGTAAAGGGTTGATATAATATTAACATAAGAATCTTTATCTGATGTAGTTGCCCCAACACTTGCTTTTGTACTGCGTTAACTATTTCGCTAAAGAAATAAAAATTAGGCTTCTAACTGACATAGCTAAATGAAGTCCAAAAATGTTAGGTATTATCTGCCCCAAGGAGGTCCAACAGTGCATCTGAATGAGGGGAAAACCAGGAGAAAAGAGCCTCTGTCAGACTCACACTGACCTTTTCTATTACACAACAGAAAAAAAAGTCATCACTACCTTATCTATTCATAGATTAGGGCTGCCTTCTCTACATGTAGCTGAGGAACTTTCCCTCTTTCTGCCTTCATGGGTGAAGATGTAATTTCCTCAGAGTGCAAGAGACTACTCGCAGCATATCCAAAGCCAAGATGTTTGCAAACGCTCTGTTCCTTGAGCGTTGCCTCCATGAAGGCAGTACCTTAACTACCCCAACCAATACTCTCAGTCTAACTAAACCGCACAAAGGGATTTTTTTCTCTGATTCTTTGCTCGCTTTTTGAGTTGCCACAGAAAAAAGCCCTCACTCTTCTGAGCTAAATGAGTGAAGAGTAAACGAAGAAACTATAGGCAATATTCTTACTCTATATGAAAGCTCGCTATAAAACTTTCGGCTGTACCCTTCAGATATGGATGCAGGGAACGGTAGATATTACATGGTAAAACAGTACTCTGGAAAAAAACAGCACACTCCCTTGATCTGGCACTAGTCTAACAAAAGCAAAAGGATAGGAGTAGCGCCTGGAATTAAAGATTGCTTTCTCATGTGTAAATGAAAACAGCACAGCAGATAAATAATTAACTATATAGCTGAAAGAAGTCACCAGTTCTTGTATGTTTTTAAGAGGACTAAACAATTTGCTTCTGATATAAAGTCTTGTGGTCACCAGTATGTTGCCAAATGAAGGATTGTGACAAAGCAAGAAGAGAACAAAAAAAGACAGTGAAATCTACAGAATGGGCAAGGTACATAGTTCAGTGGAGCAAATATCCTGAATCACCTGCTGCAGCATGTTTTATCTCCAGTAAGATTTACTTTATATCCCCAGATCAGGTATAGTGCCTGTATATGCATATGAAGCTGAGTTTCCTTGAACACTGTTAAGTGCAGTAACTAAATAATCTCATCCAGAAATACAGCAACCTTTTTCAGATTAGGAAAACAATTAACATATAAGATTAAAATTATATTTGGTGCCTGTAACTGAAAGGCAGATCAAACAAATATGCAAAAATGTTTCATACCATTTTCTTCAGGCTGCAGGTCTAATAAATCATCTATGGTACCTAATGGCAAACAAGAAAAGCACCAAAGGAAGATTAGTAGTATACTGGGTTTTTTTAGACAATGAGTACGCACACATTTAAAGGTGGTTTTCTTAAGTCTCTTCACCTGAGTTCTGCTTGTGGTTAAAATTTCCTTGTAACACGGATAGGACATCCTTGCCATCATCAGCTGCAATCAAGATGCATACACATGTCAAATTGCACTCGGCACAGAAATATGTTCATAAACACCCTCACTGTAAAATCAACATGCAATAGTTGTTGGCATTCATGTTTAAAATACACCTGGTCACAATGGAGGAAAAACCCAAGATATAAATATTTCCAAGCGAGTCAAGTTTCTGACCACTAACCAGGGGGGATCGTCCTCTGGATCACTGCCGGACACACTAACCCGATTCCATGCTAAAGTATCTCCAGATACAACCTGATGAGATGTGAAAATATATCCTCCCAACTGTAACTAGTTCATGCACTGATGAAATGTCTTAAGTTAGACATGCAGTCAAAATAATTCTCTAGATTCCCTCTGTAGGCAGAGAGAGAGACACCTCCCACAGTTGATTAATCCCGTTCAAGATACGCAGTAAAACATGAAGGATGAGTTCTGAACATGCCTTTCCCTCCTCATTAACTACTGAGGGAACATAGCTTCTACACAACCAACTCTGTAGCTCTAAGGGCCAACGAAGGCCCATAGTACTGCCAGAACTAGAATGTAGATTTCCTAGAAGTCTGAAGTTCGAGGTTGGAAAGGAAAAAAAAAAAAATCACTGAAGAGAAATAACAATTGAAAAATTGGTCAAAACAAAACTGCAAGGTGTCTTCAGAACTAAGTGAAACAGAACAGTTTGCAGTTTGAAATATACTGCTTTAGCAAGGCTCTTTACTAGGACAATGGAACAGAAATGCGCATTCAGCACTGGAATCAGTCTGTCATTTAAGGACCCATGTCACACTCTGATTACATTCTATATAGATACACAGATGGACACGTATAAATGATGCGCCCCTTCCACTAAAGGGTCGTGCATGAAAGCTAGAGTGGAAAAAGCAAAACTGACTGGCAAAAAAAAAAAAAACAGAAAGAAGAGTTAATGACAGTTGGTATGTGGATTGCCACAATTCTGTAATGAAAAAAATACAACTGTTGCTGAAAGGCTTCCTCAGTTCAGTGGTAAACACGATAGAGCCAATTTTAAAAAATCCCTATGACATTAGAGGAAAATACTGAGGAAAATGATACTAACTGGAATTTATGAAACAGTACTTCATGAGGAAAACTAAGAAGAAACAAATTTCGTTCCTACCACCAATATGGCCACGTTACTTTAGGAGGTACAGAGTACTTTAAGAAAAAAAAAATCTTAGCAATGGCAAAGACCCACTAATATATGGAGATGGAAACATTTACCAGAACAGGCAGAAATATTCCAAAATACTTCAGTTCCTTTTGGAGGTAATGGAGAAAGACAGAATGAAGTATTTTTATTATGGACGATGCTGAAATATTTTACAGTCTGTAAGTATCTGAGAAAGATTCTAGAAAACATCTGCTAAGAAAATATTTTATAAGTCTAATTTTGTATCCAAGACTGCTAAAAGATCTGGTCAAACAGATATCTGATCTGATCTTAATTTTGCAACACGAACAACATTTCAAAACACTAGGAAAGTCCTAACGTCGTCTCCTTGTAAAAAAACCAATAAGACCCACACAACAATAATTAACAGAATGACACAAGTAATTGTAGGTAACTACAGGCTGGCAGCTCACCATTACCCCTAGGTTAAACATTAACTGAATCCCATATTGGGATTAGGTGAAAAATAAGAGCATAATAAATGCTCCTATAATAAAAGGTGTTTTTTATGGAAAGTAAACCTAGCTAAAGAAACCTAATTTCATTCTTTGATAAACTATGAGCTTTATTGATAAAGATATCCATTTGGAAATAACTGGCTTCTCACTGCATAGCCTTCCGGCTAAAGAGTTAGCATGCATAATATCTATAATGAACATATTGAATAGATTAGGAACATGACAACTAACAGATGTCAAAAAATAGTCGTTAGCAGAAACGATTGCAAAGTGGAAGTGTTTCTAGTTTAGATCTACAAGATTTAGCGTTATATCCATCACTATTCAATGGCTTTAGCAGTCATCTGGAAGTAAACAGAGAATCACTGTTGAGAAAATGTGCAAACAACTAGCAGACTGTTAGAGGTGGTCATTCAGGCTGGTCATTCAGTTTTTATAGTCACAGCTGAAAGAATTTTAATACCACAGAGTCATAAGTTATATCTCCAGGAACAAAGAATACAGGCCATGCTACAGAATGGATGAATGAGTCCTGGAAAGCTCTGACCAAAAGGAACCGAGTTTTTGTAAACAATAAAGTCAAATAGGAGCTTCTAACCTGATGCTGCAGTAAAGAGAGATGTCACTCTTGGATATATAAACGGGAAGACGATGAGTAGAAAGATGATGAGCAGAAACAAGAATATGATTTTACCTTCTAGAAACACTGCTTGTGTGACCAACACCAAAATGTTTTACATAGTTTTAGTTTTTACATTGTAAAAGGGATGTTGGAAAACAGAAGAGGAACAAAATCTTCAGAAATAAAGGACTAGAGAAGATGTCTTACAGATATCAATATGGTTAGTCTACTGAAATGAAGACTGAGAGGAGTCTTAATTTTAATGGACAAGTACCTTCATGGAGGATAAACCACCACATATTAAAAGGATTCTCCATTAATTTAGTATAGAAATGCATACTATAGAGTCAAGGCATAATTTAGGTTGGAAGGACCTCTGGAGGTCATCTGATCCAAGTCCCTTCTCAAAGTAGAGCCACTATGAAATGAGATCAGATTGCCCAGGGACGTGCCTAGATAAGTATCAAGAATCTCCAAGGACAGAGATTCCACCAACTCTTTGGGCGCTTGTTCCAGGGCTTTGCCACCCTCACCGTGACCATTCTTTTTCTCCTAATACCTCCTAGAACCTGGCTCTGTCACTGTGTCGTAACTACCCATTCAGGCAGTTGAAGGCAGCTGAATATCAATTTGCCTAGCTTTTAGCCAGAAGTTCCACTGAATTCATCAATCTTTAACAGAATACATGTTTAATCACTGGAATAAACTAGCAAGCAAAGTAGCAAACTTTCCATGTCCTATAATCACAAGATTCCTTTCTTGAAGATATGCCAAACATACGAATTATGCTTTGGACAGACGAGCTTTGTGACCCACCTGAGAATAACTGGATGAAATGTAGTGGAATATAATACATAGGAGATCAGAGTGGAAGATCTAACCAGACTTTTCTGGCCTTAAGTTTTGCGCATTTGTAGGGATTTGCTTGTTGAAGCTGAACACATATTAAATAAATAAAAAATGAAAAACATATATTATGGGATGTAAGAAATTACGATAACATAAATTAATACCTGAATAGTTTGATTCCTTGGTATGGCTCTCCTCATCTAACGAAATCAACCTTAATTTGATGCGGTAAGGAAAACAAAAAAGAAAATGCAATTTAAGGCTATGGTATAATACATTTCTCTCTTTTTCAATCACATTGTAAAAGAACTGTATCAGTAGCGAACAAATAGTAATTCATATGGACTCCTGAACTTGCCGTATATGCTGGTTAGTCAATAATTTCTATTCTTTCATTGGCAAATTAGATTGAAGACCAACTGTCAAAATCTACCAACCTCCCATTTTTAACTCAATTAAATATCTGTAATGAAAAATAAACACTCTATTCTGCTTTTCCAGATTTTATTTTTATAAATATCATGAAGGAGATGTAACTCTTCGGACAAGAACAGTTTGCACTCCTCTTTTTACTTCTGTAATAGCAACTAACTAAAAATCAACCAAATCAGGTGAATTTTGTCCCATGCCATTAGATTGAGGCCAATTTCTAGTACAATGTTTAGCATCGGTGGAAAATACATGAAGGTTTTAAAAGCTTTATTTTACTTTGTGTAATTCTTCTGGAATTTTAAATGCAGCTAGCTACATTTAAATGTACAGCTAGCTTTAGGAAGAAATACGATAAGAAAATGTTTTTTCCCCAGTCTAATGAAAGAAAAAAAAAAAAAAGAAAATTCATAAATAAAAACAAGTGCAATCATGACATGGCATCCACAGCATTTGTTGGTAGGTGCCAACACATGCATCTTGCATAAATCATGCACCTATTCTAGAATTTTATTTTTCAACACTGGAGAAAACAATTACTTCTGAAATTCTTTATTATCATCACATGAGAAGCACCAGATTCATGCAACTGCTGTGAAAACAATCACTTGCCAAACAGTACTTGGCTTAGTGCTTTCTAACCTGCTTAGCACCAAAACATGACCAGTTTATAAACTGCTTTTGGTTAGTGGATGTGCCTCTAAACAAATACAAGAACTGGAAACCAGAAATCTTAAAAACATTATTGTAAATAGCCAAGTAAAATCCACTAATTATCAGTCAAGCTGTTCTCTGCTTTTTGACAACTGATCCTTAGCTGGGTGCTTCACTTAACCATGGACAGTCAAAACAACAGGTGGCAGCAGGATTATATCAATGTTGCATCTCCTTGCAACTGAATCCTGATGGTCCCATAGGGAAGGGATCACATCTCATTCTCCTGTTCGGCTCTCCCTATAGCAGCCCATTCATAAGTCTCTCTCACCTCAGAGCCACAGGTAACTCAAACCTTGATAGCATCAGCTCACTTAGATGTACTTTTTGCTAAGTGCCCGCTGCTTCATTGGATTACTAACCTACGCTGCATACGTTACAAAAACTAATGGCTGCTCAAAGCAATCAGGAATCCATATCCGATTCCCAGGTGTAAGGAGACGCTGCTGAAGGGAGAAATACAATGCTCATATATCTTCTCCCAAGTGAAGTTGTTTACCATTTATTTTACTAAAGAAAAAAAATGAAGCAAAAGCTGAAAAATAAAGACAAGACTAGGAAAGATGAAAAGAGTTAAAATAAGGGTTTAATGGGACTTTTTCAGACTCAACTTCACCATAAAGGTTGCTAGTTCTCATATACACTTTACAGCATTTCAGGAATTCTCCTACGAAGCTTACTATTTGCTACTGTGTTCAAACTAGCTGTGTCTATATTTCCAGTTATAAATGCTCAATAACCTTAGCAACCAGAAAGTAGGCTGCAGATGAAAATACATATTATTTTGAGATACAAGACATGTGACTTACTGACTCCGCTGATCTGGTACTGGCTTGGTGCTCTCAACGTTCAGGTCCTCCTTTTCTGCTCTTGCTGTTAGTTTATTCATAGGATCTTGTAAGCTCTAGATCACAGTCAATACATAAATGAGAAGAAAAAACCTCAACAGAATCAAGGAAGCAAAGTGGGTCATGCAAGGTCAAACACTACAGAGCCTATGTAAATAAGCAAGAATATGTTTATGAGCTATGTAAAAGCCATGTGTGAATCAAACAAGCAAAATAACAAAAAATATTAGAAGATACTCATTCCAGCTGAGTCACAGGAACACAAAGCTCATACACTTTATACAAGAAGGCAAACCTTGGCTACTTCTAAATGCACATTCTGTTGCTAATGCTTTCAAGAAAAAACATCTATACCATGTGCAAGGCAGGCATTAAAAGAGTATTTCTTTGCCATTTTTTGGGCTTGTCTTTAAGATGAGAAAGATTCATTTTTAAAATCTATTCTTTCCACACTCTGCATCTTTATTCTCTTTTTTCCGGACATAACTATTTACAGAACATTTGCACCTGTAGTGCAATGGGAAGGTGCTACCTGTATCCTGAATTTGACACGCTAACAAGTAAACACACTAAGCATTATATACCACCTGACTGAGAACATACAAGTGATAAATGTACTACTGGTTGTCCCTGTTACGCATTAATTAGTATTTCTATATGAAAAACTAAATAGCTGAAGATAGTATTTAAATAATTGCAGATGTTAACGACGTATGAATATTTGGGTCTATCCAATGGTTTTCCTGTGCAAGTGAAAATATTTCCCTCTTTCCAAAGTCTGACTCAGCTTTCTGAAAAACAAAACCATGTTTCACTTGGGTAGTCCCAATCAGTTATGATCAATTTGATTTATGACTGACATTCTTACAGCCTCACCTCCTCCCTCCCCCCAAAAGAAAAAGCTAAGGATAAAATGAATAAGCCACCTTTTACACACAATGAATGGAAATACATTTTTTTGTGTGTCTGGAGTTTTAATGAAATGCTAGTATATTCATCAGAATTGCAAAGCAACAAAAAATATTTCACCACTAAGTCTGTCTAACCTGTTGAATAAAGGTTAGAGTCCCCAGACCATCTGTTATGATAAAAATATTCCCACTCATCTAGTATAGCATGTTTGCACTGTTCTGTTGACCAGAACAGATTAGTCACTAGAAGGGGCATTCCAATTTCTGCTTAGCTTAGTATTTGTCTCTGTGAGGAAATGTATACTTCAGTATTTTAGAAACCAAACTAATGGATTTTTCATATGCTACAGTTGGGTCTTTTTTCCTCTGAGTAAGTGATTTCTTCTTTCCATTCCACAAATTAATTTGTCATAAGCACCTGAAGCATTGCAGAAACTGTGCATCAACGGATGAGGGATCACATAAGCAGCAATAATAAACAGAGGCCTCAAGGAAAATTTTCTTATTCTATAATTGTCACTTTTTTTTTTTTTTTTAAAATACTAACAGCACTAATGAGGACCACTTATAGTAGACTTCCTGGATTCTGGAAATGGACACTTGTCACCTTAGATTACCTGTGAATGAACCCCTTAACTATATTTGTACCAGCTACTGATTAGATTGTACTCCTTGTACTATTAAAATCAATGGCAATTATTGATTTGGAGGATCTGGACTAGCATTCAGAAACATAAGAATACATACCCTACTTGCACTAAAATGCAGTGCAGAGAAAGATAAGAGAGACTTGCACTCAGGGGATTGTACTGCTTCTGGCACCTGAGCTATCTTGTGGACTCGTTTGCAGCAGGCTACACCATAGACTGTACCCAGGAGGTTACGGTCTGACAGCATGTGGTGCTCTGCCTCAAAGTATAGCAGCACAGAGCCCAGCCCAAGAAGAAGGGGTGTAACGGTTCTGAGCTTAACCTTAAGGTTAAGAAAATCATCAAAAGTAAAATCTCTAGCATCTTCATAAAAAAAAAAAAGTAAAGAAATCATCCTCCTTCAAGAAACTATATTATAATGCTTCCTTTATCGTTCAGAGTGTTTCAGGAAATCCGTTTTTAAAGGTCTCTGATCAAACCACGGAAATAGCATATAGAAATGGAGCTCACAAGTACCTTGGGAAGGAAATAGCATGATAATAATGGGAGTTACTATTTCCTGTATTAGAAAAATAAATATAAGGCTGAACGATAGCCTCAGTTTCAGAGATTATGATAACAATTGCTAAAAATTGGAGCCATATTTTAATGCAATAATTCAGTTTAACTAATTATTTTGACATCTAGACAATATTCCCTCAAATTCTGCTAGCAAATAATGAAATTATTTTCCTATCTCCTGCCTGCCTGCCTCCCTCCCTCCCACATCACCCTGTGCACTAGGAACTGATAGGTCTTTTTTAAAGATAGAAAGGCTAGAGAAGGGGTATGAAATAAAACCAAATGTTACAAAACCATTGTAAACCGTATCCTGAATGTGAATCCACAGTAGCGTGATCGCTATTGTCAACATGCATAGAAATTCAACCCGCTGACATTGTGTAATTGTTTCAGGCTATACCAGAAGAAGGGAAGAACTTGCATCATCTAGAGAATGTAAATGTTAAAAAAGGCTGTAAATATATAGACTGAACTCAGACAGAAGCAAGCACACACGAGTTTGGTGTATGAAGCTTCACTGACTTCATTGGTTCAGAAGACACAAACGCATGACTTCACAGTATTTGTCTGGGTGCTTGTGTGAAGTCACACTGGCTTTGCAGAGAGCCACACAAACACTGATAGAAGGAAAGATCCATTCATGTTGAGAAAACCTCCTTCCTGGCCTCATTATTTCTCTTTCGCTATAAAAATCACAGTAGGAGTGTACACAGGAGTAGAGCAAGTTCACAGCCAGTCACTGCCTATCTTGTCTATATCTCTCCAGCTCAAAGTTACCCGGTGGTACTTTGCTTGCACCCATTACTCAGACTAAATATCCGAGCCAACAAGGAGTTCCTCCACCGAAGAGTTAACTCAGATTCCAGCTCAGGCGCTGTTCCTATGCTGACAGCTGCTCCCTCATAAAAATCCTTTCACCTAAACCTGGGTTGCTTTCAAGCCAAGTCAAGATCATCTAGACTGCACACAAAGCCTTTCCTCTGCAGTTAAATCACCTGAGCACTGACAAGGCACTCAATTTCCCCATAAGTGCCTTGGTTAAGTTATGCACTTCCTCTTTGCTGAGAAAGAATCAAAGTAGGAGAGCTGACAGCAGCTCCGGGAGCCAGGGATATGTCCCAGGAAGTCATAACGACATATGCCGAAGTGCAACACCAGTGAGGAGACAAAAACTTGGATATGTTTCCTTTGTGTGTGTTGGGGCAGGGGGGAGCTCTGAGAGAGAAGAAGAAAAGCAGGTGGCTTTGGAAATTGCTCATGGAGATTCATGTAGAAAAAGAGAACCCAGAGATATAAAACTCTGTGCAATCTCCCCTGGTGAGTAAAGTCAATAACGAACAGAAATGAGAACGGGTAACAGACTACAGCAAAGGTCAGCAGAACATAGTAATGTTGCAGTACCTTTTCAAACACAGTTCTCCAAACTACTTAAGCAGCAGCGTCCCATTATACACACAGATAAACACATGCACAGAGATCCAGGCCTTTTGGCTTCCTTACCCAGAGCCATTATTATTTCTAGGCCCATATGAACTATTCAGGAAGTTTGGTACTATAGTATTGAAATGAAGAAAATGTAACTAAATATTAATAAGTAACTATGGCAAATAAACAGTTACAGAAATTAGAGAGGCATTATTCATGGAAAGTAGCCCTTGAAAGAAATTTGAATTCATTTGGTATACAGTAATTTCAAGAAAATTGAACCTTTTAAGTTTTACCAGAACAGCAGCCCATCATCTTTAATATTACAGTAAAGGATACTTCTACATCACAATACATAGAGCTGTCAGCACATTAATAATCCTTTTTCATCAAGCATAAAACTAGCGGTTAGGAAATATAGCTGCAATAGCACAATTATACTACTTTCAGCATATACCCTGAAGCAAAAAAACCAAATAGACTGCTTTTCATTAAGGGAGTTTGGCAGACATCTCCAAAGACAATGTTTTCTTTCCAGAGACAATCCTGAGAGGCGTTTAAGAGTCTCTCTTCTGAGGTAAACTTAGCATATGAACATACTTATACTTCAAAATGCAAATAGTAATTTTTCAGTGCATAGCACCTTCTAATTTTTCACTAATACAATCTACAGCTAAGTGAAATAGTAACACTGTTTCCTTAAATTCTTGTTCTAAAGTGGAACTCTCATGCTACATACATATATGATTAGTTTAAGCCGGAAGGATCACTTCTGTGAGTGAAGGTAAGCCTTTTACATCACAACTGGAATCATAACAAAGATGAGGATGATTTGCAAGCACCAGACTGAAAACTACATGTGCCTCTTTTCTTTTAGAAAAAAATCCCTTTTACGACATAAGACATTGAAAAATATTCTAACAGAGATGACACCTGATTAAATACGTAGAAATGGGTACATTCAAAAAATTCATGCATGTTTGAAGCAATTATATATTCTGAATGCACGTTTTTAGTGCATAAAATGAATAGCAGACATCTCATTGTTATTGGGTAAAATTGGGTACTTTGTGCTCCAGAACAGGTATGTTTTCTACAGAAGCTTCTAAATGTTGCAATACATTTTGAAACAGCGCTTATCTTGTTCGGATAAACACCTACAAGAGAATAAAGAATATATATCCAGCAAAAATATAGGATGTCCTCACAAATTAGACTGACATCGGTTTGTTCCAAAGCATAGATAAAAAAATTCTTCAGAAGACTTCAAACATCATGAAGTTATGAGCAGAACAGCTGAGTAGTGTGGTACCCAGCTTCCTGAACAGGTCTCTGACTATCCTAACCCTGACTGTGAACTAGATACTGTTGCAATGGGAGGTGATGAGGGAGAAACAAACTTTCCTTTCTGATTTGGAGTTTAACTGGGGAGTCTGAAGGCAATTATTGGTAACATTGAGATACTTAAACACGCCCAAACTGTCTGCTGCTGAAATCTGGAGACATACTCTGGCTAGCACCCCTGCCTTCTGCGACATGGGCTAGGAGAGAAGGAAGCTTAGCATTATATTAACTTCATCCTAACGAGGACTTCTCCAGCAAAACAAAATTCTTCAGTGGGTGGTTAAGCTGGAACAGTTTATGAGGTTTTAATGCTGCCCAGAATGCTGTCTCTTTATTCTTCCCTCTGTCCAGAAGAGATTGAAGCTTGAAATTTCTTTGCTTGTTTTGTTCTGGTGTTTCAAGCTGCAGGAATAAAGTCTCTACAAGCTTCTATGCACTTCAAAGTTCAGTAACTGCTCCCTCTCAATCCACACTCTAGAAAACAACTTTAAATATACCACAGTCACGTACAAACGAGTTTGGCAGTCTGGAGTGAATTAAATTCTATACCTTCAGGTGCTTATTTTCCAGGAGCTCTGGGGCAGGCACAGGCTATACAGCACAGTGCAGCCCAGCTGCCTCTTCAACACGTAATACACGCAAACATCTCGTGGATTGAGGCTATGACTTGTAATTATTTTCAGACTGAGTTGTCTCTCCAAGCAATCAGCACTGTGCTGCAAGCTGTTCATTCTTTGCTTTTCTTCTGCTGATAATCCTGCCGTAAGACCTTCTCCAGATTAAAATGTTGTTTTTCTCTCATGCAACTAGAATCAGCCAATCACATCCTTACTAGGTTGCACAAAATAGCTACAGGACAAAAGCATCGGGGGGTAACTGCAAAGTTACCATTTTTTCACTGCTTCCCCATTTCTTTAATGAATCTCCAATTGCAACGGGTAAAGCAAACTCTTACGCAGGCGCAGTGCTGAGTGCTTATTTTCAGATACTTGGCTAAACTCTGAACTCACAGTTCAGTCAGATATTGCACATGTTCCATACTCAAAGTTTATAAAAGAGTCACCAAATACTACTAGTCAAGTAAAATAATGTTTTCCAGAGCTGTTAAGAGGTAGAAAGTCTGAGTACTCCAACATAGGTGTGGTACTCCTAAGCATCTATATACTTATATTCAGTTTGATAAGGTCTTCTTAAAGAGGGGCAGTTTTTAAAAACAAATGCAAAATCAAAACAGTATTAATTCATTTGGGAGATTTTGGAGAGCAATAGAAATCCTTAATTCTACTGGACTGCACTATTCTTCAGGATCAAACAAACACAACCCTAGCTAGCACTTAAACATATAATTAAATGAAGCCTTGAATAATGACTTCTTCTGAAATAGGTCCTTAATCACTGCACTCTACATGCAGTCTTTAATCCCACCGGACGGAAATGCATTTGACACACAACCTATATTGCAAAGAAAAAAAATACCAGGGATAAAATAGCCACTGTGGGACAATCTATGGCAAGTACACAAAATACGAATGTGTGCTTTCTACATAGTTGCATGGTCTCTTACTTTTATCACTGATTAAACAAACATATCTATATATTCCTTACCTTTAACATAGTGAATTCATATGGCTGATAACCTTTGAAACTTTCATGGATAGCTGCCATGGTGTGTGAGGTTTTTTCCCAAAAATGAAGAAGCGTTGTCTATAACAGAAGGGTAAAATTTCAATACAATGTTAGCTTAAACATCAAGCTGCTTTTAATGCAAGTTTTACCCCACTCCCCCATTATTAGTTTTATTAATAGTTGTGTTGTATCTGCATATTGTCATAGTAACCTCTTTTGAAAATGTATATTAACAGGAAATCTTTCTTCTGAAGGTCAACGTTTTTTGGATACCTGATATGTTGTTAATACATGAGAAAGGAGGTTGCATCTGCTTGCTCCCAAAAGATCCACTTTTTGGCAAACATCAGTCTTCAGTTTGTCAAAGTTGAGTTTTGCGTGCCGTACTTGAGCTTGAACCTTCAAACAAAGGGACAATTGTTTATGTTGTGATACAATGTTTTTCATTTTCCTATTGCAACTTCATCAAAAAGCAAACTAATAAAACTTTTAAGAAAATCAGACAATTGAACAGTCTCACTTAAAAATTTATACATAAGTTTACTATAGCATCAGTCTCACAGAAATCAAGATGTGGCAGGCTAGAATATACTAGAATAAAGTTCTTACTATTGTCTATATTCTGCATTACTATTCTTACAGCATATTCAGTGAAGAAACTTTGTTTTCTCTCCTCGGTACCCAAGATGGATAAAGTATTAAAAATATACTGAGAAGATAATAATTGGACAGCATACTCATTTTGGTGTCTTTTTATAGAAATACTAATTTAAAGTCTGATCAACAAATCTGGAACTCTGTGCTTACTACATAATATATGTGCACACAGAGACATCTACACGCAGCTATAATAAGAAAGAAATTACACCGGCAAACTAAAATCATCGATCTGCAGCTCTTGTTCACAGTACAGCACTGCAATAACTTTGAACTACTACAAAAAGTTATCTCATTGAAGTTTTTCTCATAAAATAGAGTGCTTTTCCTATTTATTCCTACTTTAAGAAAAATAGGAAGGTCCCCTTTCTTACAGGCAAATAGGCAAACAATTTCAGTTTCAAAGCCTTTTACAGTTTTCAGGTTATTCTTTTACCACCTGTTAGATATATACGGGACATAGTCTATTAAACACATTTGACAACAAGATTAGTAATCTCATTGTCAGATATCAGTGAAGAAAGCTTTGTGGTGTTTTGCACCCAGGATGCCCCATTTTTATGACATTTATGAAATATCATATTAACAGAAAAATTTGCATACAGCTCTTTCTAGTTTTCTTCCAAGAAAACAGGAAACAATCAAAACACAAAATCTGAAGATTTTCCTACACTCTT